CAATTATCATTGGGCCAGCTAATGTTCACACCTCTTAAAAGGAGCCAACCCTACCAGCACTTCCACCTCACACTCCTAGCCTCTAGAGCTTAAGACACTGTAATAAATTCCTCTTATAGAAGCCTCCCTATTTCTGCTCCTGAGGGAGCCAATCAATGGGATAATGCGACTTCTCTGGATTCCCCTGAGGTTTAGGTTTCTTATCTTGTCTTTGGCAATTGTTCTTTCCATTGCACATGTTAGCAATGCACGAAGTCCCCTCATAATCCTTCTGGCTTGTCACACTGCTTATTAACTGGGTCTTCAAGAGTGCTCCGGGAGGCCTTTTCCAACCTGTATTCTCTGCCCCTTGAGACATGGAAACATCTGGCTGCTAGTACATGCCACTGGGAATCTCTGAGAATGCCTAGTTCCCACCCTGGATCTTGCCTCTTTTCCTGCTGGGATCCCCTGTCTCCATTCCTAGGAGTCAGATATAATTGACCTGGTGCAGACCTTGGGTATCCATATTAATTTAAAATGTCATAAGGCCAGCCAAATAGCTCAGCAGATTAAAGTGCCTGCAAACAGACTCAGGGGTCAGGGGTTCAATTCCCAGGCCTGTCGTGCCAGCCCCACCCCCAGGGTGTGCTGAGACAGCAATTGAGACTGGGCAGGGACGTGGTGGTGCGTGCCTATAATCCCAGCTCTTGGGAGGCTGTAAACAGGCGGATCACTATGAGTCCAATCTAGTAGTGAGACTCTGAACACCCTGTTGACCCTTTCCTAAAAATACTAGATAGATAGATAGATAGATAGATAGATAGATAGATAGATAGATAGATAGATAGATAGATAAAAGATCATCCTGGTGATCCTGTTCATCGCTCCCAAGAGTCTATTTCCCTCAAAACTACTTTCACAGCATTAACTACTTCATTAGCTTGGTTCATTGCTATTATTGATTCTCTTTATTTCTAAAATTGTAGTTCCAGGCAAATTCCACCACCTATTTTATTACGGAATAAAATTGTTGCTCAATTAGATGGAACCAAGGGATACAAGAAGTGCTTCTAACAAACAGAGGAAGTTGGTGCACAAAGACACACTGTACCTGGGCCTCAGCCTCACTGTGGATCAGGTTGCAGCAGGCCTAAAGCAAGGTTGCAAAATCCAGCTGTTCCTGTGCTAGTGGAACTTTCATATTGTTACAGTAACACTGGATTTATGACTCAAGGTGAAGAATGAAACTGCCAGCGGAGGAGTTCAGAGTTGTAAGCAGGGTGATTAAGAAAGCAAAAGCAGGGAGATGGCTCAGTGGAATAAGTGCTTCTCTGGCAAGCACAGGGGCCTGAGTTCAATCCCTGGTTCTGCCAAAAAAAAAAAAAAAA